TAAAAACGGCATAAATATTATAAAGTGTATATAAAATAAATAGTTTCAAATACTATGCGAATTGTTTAAGTAACAATTACAGCTTAAGAAGCACAAAGTCTCAATTACCCATTCGAAATTGTTTAATAGTCAATTTGCTAAGTATTACTGAAGAAAACTTTAAAGCAAATGCGCACTTGAAGGAGATATGGCTGGTGTTTCACAAGTTCATATACTATGTATCTATTAACATTTGCCTTAAATTCTCAGCGAATTCACTAGTTACTTTAAACTACTTTCGTGCGCTTACAAACCATCACAACGGCCTTTCTTAATGAGTAGCAGTATTTTGAAAAACTTTTAAAATAACTCCAAAAAAAGCAAGAAATCAGCTGCTGTACAAGCATGACTCTGTTATATATGTATATATATGTATATGTAAAGTAAGTAGTATTTCGTTTTCACATTTTCTTCAATTGTCATATACTTTTATTAATAAATTTTCGTTATTCTCATTCGTTTTCGATGGTTCTCATGCTTTTTTTCTAAGAATTGATTTTTACTTACTTTTAAACTAAACCACATATTCAAATATCATTCTCCAACGACACTTCAATATGCTTCATTGTCACCTTGAAGCACTTAATTGCAGGTCTTCAAACATACACAAACATCAATAACAATCATGACAACAAGAGAAATGATAATACGTACACTCGTAAAAGAAAACAGTTAAACAGAATAAAAAAGCGTGGAACTATACATTTTCAAACCCGTAACGGCTGCCATAGAAGTTCAGCGCCACAAACAGTTTGACATGAGCAACAACAATGAAAAACAAGAACAAGTACAAGCCATGATCACTATGACGCTGATCAAGCGAAAGATCACCGAGGATCACCAATCAATAAAGTAAGCGAGAACACTTTGAAGCCAAGCGCGCTTATTGTTATTTAAATTTTAAATTGTCTTACGAAAAACTAACACAGTCACAGCATTTGTGTAGATGAAAGAAGAGTTAAGAGTGTAAAGAAAGGAGGTGAATACTTTTTTACTTAAACGACGCACGCAGTAGGCGAAGGTAGCCGACCGTTCGAGAAAATATTGAAACGAAAATTGGCGCTTAAATATTTTCATAATATTGTGGGCTTAAAAATGTTCAAAATGAAAGAACAACAAGTATATGCATTCGGCATTGGTGATCGGCAAACGTAGAGTGAACGAACATGCTGCAGCTGATGATTGTAGCTTTCCGACACAATGTGAAATATGTAAATAATTGCTGTACACAAAGCTGCATGGTTCGAAAAACGCCAGAAATGTTGAATGAAAAACACTGTTAATATTTACAATGATCGAGCAGTCAGTCGATGCTCAACTCTTTCAACGAGTGTGGGAAATAAAAATACGCTATTGCTTGACACACGGCGGAAAGAGCATGCTTGCGCACTTTCTTCCAACATATTTTCGGGAAATCACACACACACACAAATCCACAGCGCAAACAAGATGCTCAAGTGGAATAAGGTACACGCACACACACTTGTCCACCTAACTGGTAATCAATGAGCCTCGAATAAAGTACATCTACCCCCAAAAGCTACACGTTTGCTGTGCGCTGGAAATGGTGTCAACAGTGGCGGTGTGGCAAGTGATCAAGCGTTCGATGTGCGTTCGCCGCGTTCAGTACTTCGGTCACTCGTTCAATACATTGACTAGCACTTGTTAACCGCCGTTGCTCTTGCCCTGTCTGTCATTCTCAAAGCGACTATTACTGCACGCTGGACTACCGTGCGCCCGCTGCACGCCTCGAGTATGCGCGTACAGTTGTTGTACGGCTGCTGGTGTTGGCGCTGCCTCGGCGACTAGTTGTGTTGTTATGACCGTTTCGGCGGTAGGTAGCTGCTGCGAATGCGCCACTTTTCGTGTGATAAGATTTTGTGTTCTATTTTCATTGCCCTTCAGCTAGTATTTACGGTGTTGTTGCTAACTGCCGCTGTTTGCTCAAATAGTTTCCAGCGGCCTTTAAAGGCTTTTAGCTCGAAAAAGTAGCAATCGATTGCTCCACCCGGTCACCTTTGATGAAGCAGAGTAAGAAGCAGTATAGTGAATGGGCTGGTCGCGTAGTGCCACCGCGTTTTGTTTACGCTATAATCACAGCGCTTCAGCGAGATACACGCTTTTCGCCGTCGCGTCATTCACCTACTGAGTTGTACAATTTCTGTCATTGCTGCGCTTGACTTGTCGACTGCTGCTTCAATGACTTTCGGTTGTTGTTTTGTTCGATTTTTTTTTTTTTAATATTTGTTCCAACACCTTTTTATTGAAGTGTGTATTTCCTCTGCTTGGCTGCCTCGTTAATTGATAAATAGTTGCACTGCCATTGCTTGTTTGTCAATAGCTCTTTAACGTAACGGCTGCCGTAGCAGGTTCAATGGTTTGCTTTTCAAACATTTTCCAAACTTCAAATCGATTTCTTGATTTCGTTTTTTTTTCTTCTGGTATATACATTATATAGTCTTTTAAGCGGCCTTTTTAGGCAGTTGCTTTCTGTTTATGTGTGTTTTATTACTTGTTAGCATTGCTGTTGTTGGCGTTATTGTTGCTGTTGCACATATATGCGATTTCTCGGAAACATTTCGCTGCAGCGACAGCTCTACAATTTGAAAATAACTACAATAACAACAACATTCATATGCAGTTTGCCTGCCGGTTTTGTTAAGCTGCCATCATTTACCCATCATTTAGTAGTTCCTCATTGTATGCTTTGTTCGTAATTTAGGTGCTAAATGTTTTCCACATTATTAACACCTCCTTATGGCCCATTCTTGATTGTTAGCTCAAAATGTAGTGCATACTTGTATGGTATGTGGGTTAGAGAGCAGACCGGATGAATTATTTTCGGACTTAACGAAAAAGTATGTAAGTACGCGCAGCGTTTTCTTCAGCGACCGCCTAAGACGAGTACCTTTTTGACATTACGTACTCATATGCTGTGAGTTATGAGAAGTTGACACATAGTTCAGTGTTTTCATTTTCACCGTGAATGTGTTGCATGTCACGCTAAAACTGTTTTTGATTGTAGATCCCTAGAATTTGTCGGAAAAATGTTACCAATTTCTATAAGTTGTGCTTTTTAGTGATATATAATTTCCTTACGGTATCAACATTTTAGTTGGACTTTATCTTAAGCTGATTTCATTTCTAACATTAAATAATTTTCACTTTTTCCTCAGTAGAAACCAGCCTATGTTTTTAGAAAACACCAATAGTTTTGCTAGACACCAAGGCAGACACTAAACATACCATTTAGGCTACTAAGGCTGTAAGGTTTCTAAAATATTTTAAGAATTTACAGTTAAATGGTAAATGAGATACTAGGCATATCTTTAAACTGGCGGAACCGGTATGGTTGCCACAGCAAATGCTCCTAATGAACTATGCGTAGTTAATATGCGAGAATCCAGAAACTAAGCCACAAAGCTGCAGCCTACATTTGCTTACGCAGAATTCCATTATATTTGCATTTCTGCTGGGAAAATTGAGTACTCATCGCGTAAACAAATTGGGATTAAGCAGGGTAAATATGGGATTTTCCAATCACTTACAACACCAAACAGGTATACAGACGTGCCGCATGCTGCATCGTGCAAATAGTAAATGACTGTTAATTTGCTATGCAACAAAGGCCAGCAGCGGTCAGAAACAGCCGCACGTTGTGTGCCGAAATCAATTGGAAACACCGTAGGCATTGAGGCGGACAAATTGACATAAAGACTTTTCGCACATTAGCATTAGAGTCAAGGTGCAACAATAGCTACCTAAACGCAGATGATACTAGCGTTCTCACTCGCTCTTCCGGCTTCTTACAGCCGTCGCTCGCTTACCTCAATTATTTCGAACAGAAGGTTCAGGCATACAAGCTGACCTCTACTTCGACCACTATAGTGCAACATCTGCACCTGTTGCACGATGGTCAAAGTAGCATTGCTTTGTTGTTGTTGGCGTAGTTTTTCTTTTCTTTTTAATAAAACTAGCAGCCTAACGGTGCTTCTAGGAACTCAGGCGAAATTTAGTATTTTTTAGGCTGACAATAGGAGTTTCTAAAATCGACAAAACAACATAATGCAACAAAGCGATAACAGTGTGACCACATTGTACAACAACAATAGTAGCTAACGAAAGGAAATGCAACATAAGGCACAAACAAGAAACGAGAAAGCGAACAGTTGGATTTGTGGCAAGTAGCGCGTGCTACACACGCAGCCACAAGCAGGATGCTAGTGAATTTTTTTTTGGTGTCGTTAGACGTACATTTTGAATGTATGTATGTCCTAGCACACATTGTAGATTTCGCTGCGCTCTGAGATCCCATCGTTTGTGATTTCGTTTCTATAAATTGTGTTACAAACGCTGTTTTCGTGTTTTTGTTGTAATTAGTTAGGTATATTTCGGTGCGACATTTGTTCAAGTTGCTTGAATAATTTTCGCTTCTCAGCATTCGCTTTGTGGCATATGCTTGTAAAAGTGTGACGAGTTATGTGGCATGCGGCATGTGGGCTATTAAATAGCCGGTGTGTCTGAAAAGGACACGGAAAGTGGATCTTGGGATACACCTTTAGATGGTATTTTTGTAAACAAAGTATAGAATATAGTTCTATTGCTGTTTCTTCAAAAGCCTCAGTAGACTATATATATGTATACATATACTATACAGATTTTTTGACATGTGTTTATGCAACTTCAGCTGCTTCAAATATAATATCCGAATATATAACAAATTCTGGCATATTTTAGAATATTTAAGCATTATGTTTTATATCCTGAAGAGGGTATACTATTGTAGCTGCCATACAAACTGACCGATCAAAATTAAGTTCTTGTAAAGAAAACTTTTTTATTTGTGAAGGGTATCATAGCTTCGGTGCAACAGAAGTTACCATTTTTTCTTGTTTTTTCGTAACTGTTTCTCTAATTTAATATTCCTTGAATTATTTAGTCTTCAATTATTTGTTACTTACGTGTCTGTGAAATGTCTGTCACTGAGACTGTTCCTTCCGCAGCTACATGTATGGCTTTGTTGTGTGCACACTGTGACATTATTACATAATCTTCTACTGTACATAATGCACCCGAAATCACCACCTGAAAGATTAAAGCATCGAAAGGTCATAAGTCAAACGATTTTAGATTTTGAAACAAAAAACATACACACATATATTTGAAAAAATTCGAATAAAAAAAAGTAATAGCTGCCCAAATTGTTCGGTATTTTAAATGTTGGTCAACATTCATGAACGCCTTCAAATTTTATATATTATATTATTTTTATCATAAGAATACTGCACTTTCTCCCTTACAAGAATTTGGTATTTCGTTCAAATTATTACCGAAACTTATATATGTATGTATGAAAGTAATAAAAATATTGAGTTGAATTCCAAAACTATACTTCATTTAATATTAAATCCCTATAATATTTATCGCTCCACCCAAATTCACGCTAAATGCGCCTACACGTAGTCGCATCTTCACCATTCGCGCCAACTAGACGCAGATCTTCAATGGCGCAGCGCTTATCAGCAAAATATTAATTTAATTCATTCACAAATAAGCAAGTGTTACACTCACGCACACTTAAGCAGACGTACAGGTGTGGCATCTAACACACGCCCAAATAAACACCAGTAGCGTGTAAGTACGGTGGCGTTAAAAAGTTTTTGTTTTACTTTTTTTTATTAATGCATACATCTGATAAGCAGCTGAAGTTTTTTCTTGCTTTTGATGTTGTTTATCACTAAAAATTTGGGAAGATAGCGGCGCAGAAGAAGCAGAGTGAAGAAATGTTGGTGAAGATAAAAGCGCAGATAACTGTGTGGCCATAAAGCACAGCAAACAAACGAAAAAAAATTGTGAAGTGAAAGCAAAAACAAAAAAATACCTTACAATGGAAGTAAAATAATAATAATTAGTGTCAAAATAACAACAAAGCTGTTTATCAAACCAGCAACAAGAAACTCAAACCGATAATTGCACAACAATGCGCACAAAAGCTACTTGTGGCTGCAGCAAAGCGTCGACAGCGTAAATAATAATAATTACAGTTATGTAATTACACTCGTTTGAATGCAGTTGCATTTAGATTCGCATAAATAAGCATATCGCTATTAAACACACACGCTAATTGCTCACCCATCCATCAACGCCGGCGATTCGCACGCCACCACCGCATACGCCCTGTTGGTCACTTCACGCTCACGAACACACACACACACACACTTTTGTGGTTGTTGTGCTTAATGTTTGCAATTAAAATTGCATTCACAGCGCATAAATGTCAGCAGCATTGTTGTGCAGTATGCACTTGTTGTTGTTGCAACATTTATCACCCTCATTGGTGCGTGTATTTCTTGTTGTTATTGTCGCTGACTGTCCACCAGCCGTTTTGCTATTATTAATTAATAATTAAATTACTGTTCATACGCCAACTCAACAAGCCATTCACCATTGTCTTCACTTTGTCTTCGCGTTGTTCTCAAAGTTGTTGTTTCGCATATCATTTGATTATTTGCTATTGTTGTTTTTGTGTATTCTGTAGTTGATATATGTGCTTAGTTGTTTGTTTTGTTGCTCTTCCTGCATTTAATGGCAAGTTAATTAATTAAGTTCTGACTACACAGTGGTTGTGGGACATGCCAGCAGGTGCTTTCATTTGCCACAGTGTCTCATCATGACATGGGCATGGTAGGAAAAGAGTATACTTTTTCCTATAAGGTAGCTGCAAAAGTTTTGAGTAATGTTATTTCGCTAAGGAGAGCAAATCTTAGGCGGATCAAACCACAAAATAAATCTGAAGCTGTGCGAAAGCTCCGTTAAATGCACGTTCTTTTCCGTCGAAGCTTTCACAAACTAAGACTTCCGGCTATGTTATTAGCTGGAAGTAGAATTATTGCTAGCCGCGAAAACTTAGAACATATTTCTAATATGCTTCAGCTTTCCAATAAACCATTCAACCATTTAAAGTATGCTTCAAGCTCAAAAAGTGTTATATTCAATTGAAAGTCAACTTAAAAAATCGATTATTTTTAATTTTTAAGTGTATGTAACACCTGAAGTCTCGAGTTTTAGCTTAACCCATCCATTGGTCTCTATTTAGAAACTACATAAAAATTTAAAATTTTTTAATAAAAATTTTCTAGAACATTAAATTTTCACTGGCTATTATTCTATATTTATCGATAAATAGCGTCACCGTTTTTCTTCATTTTTCGCGAAGTTACTAAAGTGGCGTCACCATGTGCTCATAAAAGCTCCTAGTTGTTCATGTATGTATCTACTGTATTAACGTCAACGGAATTTTTTTTTTATTGTATAAATGTGTTAGTGGTATTTTTAAAGGAAGTGTTTTAATGAATTATGCAAGTTTAAATTTATTACTATATTACTATTAGAATCGCTTTCAATAATGCCGGTCGTGCTCGCCTTTACGCTTCCCCACAAACCTTTTTACGCGTCTTATGTACAAATACTAATGGTTTTCCCTTGTTGCATCACTTAAGTATGCCATTCAGTCTATTTCTCATATACATATGTAGTAATGTAGTTTTTGTTTATCATTATTTGCCTATAAATTTTCCTAAGTCGCCAATAGATCAATTACTAAAAGCTTAAAATTCCATTTTTATTACTTGAACTAAAAAAAATATTGTTTATACAATCTTATCAGAAAAATTGCGTTTAACTTGCGTTGTAATTTATCAAACACACTCATAAAAACCATAATAAGTACTATTCCCACTATCTTTAGATACAATAATAGTAAAAATATTATATCATATTGTGGTTAGCACAACATTGACGGGTGTAGGCCGAGTTTCTGCTTCAGTAGCGCGCATATGGAGAGCCCATACTTTGTTGATGTTTCAAAAGAAGTCTTCTTATGATCGAAATAGACTCGAATATTCTCCGTGGTCTCGGGAAGATATACTAGTATGCTTTTGTAAATAGTTCTTTATATTTTAGTGGAACCCAAATGTTCTTACTGTGATCGGAAGCACATCGAACTAACACAATACACACTGAGTTCGCTTTAGAAGTTTACACATAAGTGCTCGAGCGTCCTAACCGAGCGGGCTCGTAGCGTTCAATATATCAGTATCTGGCGTTCAATTTTCGTTCGTGGTTAAAGCTTTATATTATGGAAGTTCTACGGAGACCTCCGTTTTTTTTTTTAGACCCTCAAGTTCATTGGCAGTTTCTTTTATTGATATATACATATATATAATATAAAAACCCTGATCTTTTTCTTCATGGGAACTCTCAATAGCTTGAAAAAATAAGAAAAATTTACAAAACAGCGCCTTATTTCTAAAAGCAAAAAGCTTTAAGCACAAAAATAATGAAAAATTAATAAAAAAAAGTTTCGCTTCAATAATTTTGTTGACATTGTGCGAATGACTAATGATCTATTATTAAAAGGCATAGGCTAAACTATTGACAAATTGAAATTTATTCATTTCACGCAAATGCTGACACGCAATGACCAACTGGCGGCGTTCCCAAACGTTAAAAGAAGCAAAAGGCTGCAAAAAAGCGCTAATGGCGTCTATGTGAATATTTTGTTGGTATATGAGATCCCTAGCCATCTACTTGCGCAGGATAGAAATAGAAATGATAAAAAAAATTGAAAAAAATAGTAAGAGCTTTAAGAAAAGTTTCGAAACTGTGAAATTCCAATATTGACGAAAAATATATCATAAGTATTCTCTATAAGGAGTGAAAGTACAACTGCTCCTTAAAATAAATATTTTTAATTCTCAAAATAAATAGCTTCATTACTAACTCTCAATTAGTTCACACATAGTTGTATATCTCCACTCAGCTGAGCAGGGAATTTTTACTCGCATTGCTTTCTTTGTAACTTTATCAAAGGAGTTCTCTTGTGGAGCCACAAAACCCTAACTCTCTAAGCGGGGTCGGTGGAGCCACCTTTCGCTTCGCATTCCACCATAAATATGTGGACGGTGATAAATTCTAAAATTCTAGAGCAGCTTCGCGACACCTACCGCCGGCGCACCCTTGCCCACTCATACATGCTCAAAAGCGCATAAAAGCACACTTGCGGCAAAACTTCGTCGCGCCCGCTTCGACCTCTTCGCACAGGAAGTAGCGCATAAGGAAAAATAGTGAAACATATTTTAGTTACAGTAGGTTATCTATGAAATGCGTGGAAATGACGTACGCCAACAAATTGACACACACAATAAAAGCGCCAAAACCAGAGTCAATAACAGAAACTACAACAAAAAAATACCAAACTAAATGTAACGCTTTGCCGTACTTAAAGTCAAACATACATACATACATACTTGCACTGCTGTAACGATTTGAGAATTATTGTAACTCAACACCTTTGCCTGCTATATCTGCACCCAATTGCTAATATGCGCGCACGTAGTCGTTACAATATTTACAAATATACATATATGCAGCCATGACTTATGATCACAACAAAAGCAAGTTGTATTGAGTTATATACATACATATGCAAAGTCTAAATCGGAGCATGCATAATGTGAGCGCCTTAAGCTTCAATGTTGTAAAATTTGTGACGGAGTATAAAATGTATGTAAAGGGTCTACCAACAAGAACGACGTGATGTTAAAAAGAAATAAAACACTAAAATTTGCTCAAAATGGGTTCTGTTTTGTTAAATATAAGGCGATTTCAGCAAATTCTGGGGGGAAAAAAGTCAGTCAGCAAAGCTATAATGCTCGCTATTGATAGTAACGCCAATTCCTGCCTCATTTCGTAAGAAATAAGGCCCTATGATGCCGCCATACCACAATGTGCAGCAAACGATTAATTTTTGGTAATACAATTGCATTTGCTGAACCACACGAAGATTTGACTCACCTCAATAGCGATAATTTTGTTGTTTGACGAAGCCATTAAGCCAGAAATGGGTCTCATATGAGAAGATGAGTTTTCCTATTTCCGGTTTGTGCGAAGAACGTGAATTTGCGTAATAATTTTGGACAATTGTTTGGACATTGTACCAAAGTGAAATGGACCAGATGAAATGCAAAACTTACTGAACACACTGTCAAAATTTGACACAAATCCGTAAACAAACATGGCCACCA